CTGCTTCCCTCCGGACAGCACGCCGCTGGGCAGCATGCCCGTGGGCGTCAGGCCTTTCAGCGTCAGCACGCTCTCGCTCTCCTCTCTGCGGGCAAGGCCGGGTCAGGCGGGCGCTCCCGGGGCCGGGGCCAGGGCAGACCGCGAACAGGGCGCGCCCGCGCCCCCACAATGCCCAGCGCACACACCCCACCCCGCCACAGACCCCTGCCCACCACGCGCCGCACCCTGGCCACGCACCGCACTTTGGCCACGCGCCCCCTCTGCCTGCCCCACCGGTTCCACCTGCCCCCGGGCGGATCCGAGGCTGCACCCGGGCCGTCCCGGCCAGGGGCCCTGCGTGTTGGAGACGCGTCCTGGGCGCCCCGGGGCTGCCCGCACGGCGAGATTCAGGCCAGGGTCACTGAGCTCTGACGCCACCGGCCACTCTGGGGGGATCTCACGGGCAGAGGGGCTGCGTCCCCCAGTCGCCCGTGACGCTCGGCGCCCCCAGCGCCCCCCCCCCTCCACGGGCCGCGGGAAGCCCCTTCAGCCGCCCCGACGGCGGCTCTAACCCAGCCCAGGGCATGTCTGGCCCGGAGCACTGTCCGCTCCCCCAGCAGCTGGCCTGCCGCTCGCCCCCTTGCACCCCCACACACTGCGCCAGCCCCGCCCCCAGGACCGAGCGTCCCCGACCCCAGGGGGCACCCTGCACCCTGCGCCCTGGCCGGGGTGACACGGCATCACGTTCACGGGACCCTGGGGAATGAAGGTCCCCTGTCGCTCATCGGGGTGCAGGCTGGCAGGGGCAGGCGGCGCTGGCCGCTCCAGTGCAGCCCCCGTGCAGCGGCCGGCCCCCCACGCCTTTCCCGCCGGAGGGCCGCACGCCAGCCCTGGCCCCTGGCCCAGGGCCACGGAGCGCGGAGCCACGTGAGGGCAGGCCACGCGGCCACCCCGTGGCCGGTACCCACCTGAGCACGGAGAACACCCTGGCCATCTTGCCGATGGCCCGGATCTTGTTCCGGATCACCTCCTTCCTGGCGGCCGCCGTGGCGCCTGCGGGTCAGACAGGGCGGTGAGCGCCTCTCCCGAGCCCCTCCGTGGGCCCTGAGAAGCCTCCGCTCCCCCGGGGCGCGTCCAGCCCGGCACCCGGGCAGCCCAGCCCTGGGGACTGGTGCGCGCCGCCTCCCGCTCAGACGCCCGCGCCCGCTCACCGTCAAAGCCGTCCTCCTCCGAGCCCAGCTCGTCGTCCGAGCAGATGTTGAGGACGTTCACCAGCATCTCGGTCACTGCGGGGACAAGAACAGGCCGGCACGCGGTGACCTCGGGCCCTCGGCGCCAGGGCCCCGCGCTGGTCCCGCAGGCCACGGCCGGCACGGTCCAGCGAGGCGCCCGCTCCGAGCACAGACGCGTGCTGACGGTGGGGGCGGGTGGGGTGTCCGTCCCCTGCCCCGATGTTCGCTCCGAGGCGGCTTTAATGACGCCCAGTGGGTCTGCCGAGGTGTTGGCTGGCCGCAGCGGCCGCCGGGGTCAGGCTTCGGGGAGCCGTGCGGGCCACCCCGGTCAGTGGGGGCCGAAGGGCCACACGGTCCTGCGGGACGACGCTCCGCGGTGCTCTCCGGAGCGTCCAGCGTCACCGCCGTGCAGACACCTGCCGCGTCCAGACAGGAGCGGCGCGGGGCCGGCCAGCCCTGGACGGCGTCCGCCTCTGTGGCCCTGGAGCGCATGAAAAGCTGGAAGAGCGTGAACCACTCGGCTCGAGAACGGAGCTCCCGGGCCCCGCGGGGCCGTGTCCGTGGGCCTGCACCGGGCACGCCCCTTCCAGACCACGCTCCCTGGGGCGCCGACTCTGGCCAAGGCCGTTAGGGTCAAATTTACATCCCAGTGGCGAGCAGACAGGCGGGGCCCTCCGGGCTCCGGGAACACGGACTTCGGGGTGGACCTGACCAGGCGGACAGGGCACGGCTGGGCAGCCGGGGCCAGCGGGCGGGAAGGCCCGGCGGGGGCGGGGCGGGGCGGAGGGGCAGACACTCAGGGAGAGCCGGGCACACAGGCCCCGGGCAGACGTCTGGGACGAAGGCCACGGCGGCTCCTGCCTGTCCGACTGCAGTGTCCGTGCGGCCGCTGACCCTACCGCGGCGGTCACCTGTGCTGCGTGGACTTTGTGGCTCATTAGTGCACTGTCACTCTTGCTGACAGCGTGGTGGCCACACGCACCACGGGCCACACGTGGCCGCACCAGAGGGGCCAAGGAGAGTGGAGAAAACGGAGGAGTGGCTTCCGGGGTGAGCTGTCCCCAGGGCCCGGCGGCTGCTGCGGACACAGCGCGTGGCCCCAGGAGGCCGGCTGGGCGGCACGGGCCAGGGCCTCCGCCCCGGGCGACATGTGCTCGAGCGTCACGCGCTCTCTGCTCAGC